GCCCGTGTATTTAGAGGCATATTGCCAGCTAGACATCCCCTCGCTCTGCAATGCTCTTCCGGGTACCATTTCGCCGCAGAATCAGACGCGATTTAAGTACGGCGAACAGGTCTCCTTTGACTGCGAGACGGGTTACGCCTCAGTGGAGAACAACACGCTATCCAGAACCGCCATGACCTGTCGTACCGTGCCAACACAACAGCAGAGTGGTGTGTGGATACCGGGACCGTGCCAGGCCTGCGTTGGTACGTCAGATAAACTGGCTGTATGTATTGGCAAAAACAGACTAATCGTTTAGCAGTATGCGCTGACCGCACTGATCAGACCTACAGACCGCAGAAGGATGCGCTAAATAGGTCAGGAGTTCTAAAAAGTTGATGAGAAAATGAGGCGTTTCAGTCACTAAAAGTGAGCCCAATGCAACATAAGAGTCAAAAAGGCGTTTAGAATGTCATTCTTTGTTTAAAGAGGGTACTTCTAGTAGCAATATCAGGCTCGGCTTTGCATAACTCGCCACTCAACGGAGGAAAATTGACACATCAATGCGATGTGAGTAGCGAAGACCCCAAATTTAGGTAAGGCGGCTTTCACATACTCGAATGACAAACGACGGACCGCCAGGGCGAAATTTAATTATTTCTAAATGTATGGGACATATATCAGTATAATATAAGAGGTGTCCTAAACGTAAAATCATCCGGTTTGCTTCTTCATTCTACGAGAAAATATAAACAAACCTAGTCAGAAATCCATATTCCTTTCAAAGAAGATTTCCATCTCGCAGACAACCTTTTCACTAGCCAAGACAAAAGCATTCATGCTGAAATTCCGAAATTTGGCATTCGTTCTAAGCCTGCGAAGGGCGGATGTGATATTCTGTATGTGTATACTTCGACGGATGTCGCCTTCATTCCCATATTCATTAGCATCTGACGGTTTATGCAAGGGCCGGACAATAAAGAAACAGCTCCAAACGTTCATCGACTATCATGAGGGCAAGAGACTTATTTTGAACTACTCAGGACGTGCGCCGTAGTGTAAAAACTACCACATCCGAGGTTTACGCCGAAAACACCATATAAACGGCCTCAGAACTAGACTAGGTAGATGCTGAAAAATGTAGAAATCCTTCATTTGGCCGCCTTCCCGTGGCATGACTGGGGAAGAGGAGCCCCATCTCCCGTACACCAGGTGGCATTGTTCCTAATTTCTTGAAGGGTGTCTATTCCCTTATCTTCAGTCTAACTCAAACCTAACTTACCCTAGCCCTAACCTTACCGTAACCCCAATTCTCTGTTTAATTACACCCTAACACTAATGTCAACCTTAACCCTAACTTTTATTTCCTGGAATTTAGCATAAGATAATCTGTAGTACGAATGTTTCTATGTCCAACTTTTTTATGGGAAGTCATATAAATAGGCCCTATATAAGAAAGTCTGAAGACGCGTGAGTGCAGTATCCCCGGCTTTGGTTAATGAAGAAGCGGACAACTAGATGACGGAGTGATCCACCTAGCAGAGGGGCTAAAAAAGCCTCTGATCGAGCGGAATTCAAAAGGCTTCCAAGTAATCCACAACTCAAGTCCGGACTATGTCTTCCGAGTATTCTGCATGCAATTAAGCATTGAAGGCTCGTTTATGTGATCTTCTAAAACCGAAATTGCGTTCTAGATTTTCGATAGATTTTTTGTGATTTTAACTACCAACTTGAACAAGACAAAGGCGAAGAAATACGCAGAAAATGTTGACGTCATATAATTTTGCGACTTTTTATTCAACCACATTTTGGTCATTGCCTAGTAAGAAGAGGAACTAAACTTTCCAATTAAACATTGACCTGGAGGTTTGAGATGTGATAGGTTAATAAAGCGTGAACTGTTGGCCTGAGATATGGGTGCACGGGGTGAGGGGGAAGGAAATTATTTAACTAAGCCAGGTTAAATTTCCGTGAAAACTTTGCAATCAGCCATGCGGGGTTGAGAGTGAGAGGACGGAAAAGGGTTATGTCCATTATCGACCCTCACTACGGTCATGAAAGGTTGATCACGTGACACAGCTGCTTAGAGGTCTGGTTTTCTGCTCCGTATTGCAGTGGCATCTGCAAAGCGCAGGAGACACCCAGTCGTCGCCTGACGTACGACCTTAAATGCGGTTATTGGGTGCGCCGTATGGTCAGTACCCACCAAGGGCTCTGTAACTGAACACTA